ATTCGGACGGCTGCTCCTTAACTGAATTTATTTTCACACCTGTAGACAGGAAGCCCAGTTTGGGATAGACATTTTTATCCGAAGAATCTTAAATACAAGGCTGCATCTGACATCTGGTCCTTGACTCATATATTTGTCTATCGTCTCGTCTAGACATTGCAATTACCGTCTTAGAGGCTATCTTCTCTCCATAAGATGGTGCTGGAGTTAAGAAATATGGACGTTTCCAAAGTCCTTCGGACATAATATACTTTACATTGGATCGTACAATACCTGTTCTTTGCAGCTCAATTCGTCGCATTCTATACGAATTAGCTTTGATAAATCACACCCGAGATATACATCTTATATACAACTGTAGTTTTTTTTTCTATGTGGACTTCTTCGAATTGGAATCCACTAAGATATGCGTTTGATGAATACGGCTTAGCCTACCCATACTTCACATCTTGAAGATTCAGACTTGCACAAACTCTCAACGCATGTTTCTCGTGAGGATAACAAAACAGTCTGAACACAGTAACCTTTCACTGAGAGTGTCTGATTTACATCGAGAGACATGCCAAGAAATCAACCTGTTCGCCTTACTAACTGTTCGAATCCTTGCAAACCCAAGCCCTGTAATGTGGCCTAGATACCTTTTTATTGAATGATCTGTTCCATCGCTTTTGAGTATTTCAGCTATCATACTCTTCATGCATTTACACTGTTATTACAGTCACGTTTCTTCACTCCTACTCTCATGTTCTTCCGAGATTGGAGTCTTGCATAATTTACACTAGCTTAAGGCCTCATGATCGCTAGATACGAAAGTTTTATCCTTCCTTCTCTCTAATCTCTTGATCACACCTCCTTGGAGTTTTCTCCGCAAGCTTCATTATGATCTATAGGTGATTGTGTCTAAGAGGCGACCTCGCCTCATTCCCCATCTTCAACTCTGAATTATTGTGCATCATGAAAATCAGACTGTATTAGGTGTGATACAAATTAGGAAATCCCGTCTTACTTTTAAAAGCGTTTCGTATCGCCTCCTGTTCAAATTTAAAATGCAAAGAACTATTGTTTTTCTTTCTCAGAACCCAAAACATGAAGGTCTTATGAACGTCGCACTATTTCAATGTTTTTCTAAATTCTTGAGCTAGATGTTATTAAAGTGTATGAATATACTCTTTAATAGCAACAGCATAATCTAACATTTGCATTCCAAAAATCTGGACTTAAGTATGCTTTCAAGAGTTTATTGCAACCACAAGCTCCATTCTTTCTCCCAGTAACGTAATATTTTAGGAACGGAAAAACTAAAGAGGGGTTAAGGAGATATTTGAATCAATTTCAGAAGCGCAATGGAAATCATGAACAAACCTGGTAAAATTTATAAGAGAAAGTGAGACTTGCTCATCACTCAAAGCACTACCAAACATCTAGATCATATGATTTTGAGAGGTGAAACATGTATCACTTCTTGCACATGATCACGAATTGAAAGTTGATCTGTGTTATGAGAATGCTTCAAGAAATAACTTGGTTACTGGCTATAGATAAAACCTTTTTTTAAAATAATCAATAGCTTTGAACCAGAGACTCATGCCCGTTTTCATGTGTGAGATGTATATCCTGGTCTATCTACACGAAGAAGTAAAATGACCTGTAATCAAGAAAAACATATCAATCGTAAGGAATAAATGTGTTAGACATGAGCGCTTTGCATTACCCATTCAAAAGTGAAAATTGTAATATTTCTAGTTAATATGAGCATCCATTTAAGGAAATTGTTAAAAGCTTCATTATTTCGGATTCTAAACTCGAACAATCATATATGTATATATATATGTGTATATGTATATAACATGACTCACTCCTTTGGATTGAATGCATCATGTCCTCTGCATGCTTCTAGAATAGCATCCTCCCGATCAATACGATTTCTCATAAACATTTCCTCTTCATCGATCAAATTTCATGACCATCCGTTATTATTATTTTGTCATTAGCATCACCTACTCTACGGGTTTTAGACTACTAACATCTACATAAAAAATGATACTTGAATGACAATAGATAAATACGAAATTCTATGTGTCATAAATTCCGTATATGCCGTATCTCGTTGCCATGAGGTTAGTTATCTCAAGAAATATATAATCAATATATTTAAACTAAACTAAACCTAAAATGTGATAAATTATCACAATCTATATACGCAGGACAGTTTAAGACTCTTTAGTATTGCAATTTTGGTCATTTGCTGCATTCCTGAACTCAAATGGATTTTACTGAATCAGTCACAAAGCGATTATACATCCGGAAGAGGCTGTTTAAGCCGAAACAACTCTTACATAATGGTATTTGCATTTCATCTCCTGATATTCAATCCTCCGAAGTGGTTGCTCTTCGTTGTCATTTTTGTTTATGTTTCAGACATGAAGTATCCGCTAAAAAACCATCAACATCTTGGACATTTGATCTTACTCCTTTCAGAACCTATAACTACGCGCAACATCTTCGCAACAACCACCAATGGGGTAATATCAAAAACTCTCATTAGAATAGAAGTCGAAGTATTTTGACGTTTCTCTTAAACCTGCCAAATTTATCAAAATCACACATGATGAGCTCAACGAGGCAAGTTCAAACATTTTGGCCCCTTGCTTACCTCAGGAACTTATTAACTTGGAGTATTCCAGGAATTAAGTACAACTTGGCTCAACTTGTCATCGAGTTGTTTGGAGTATTAGACTCTCCATTTTGAAACACTGCGGGGGTGGAAAGTGAGTTTTCAGTGCTAAAATGGGAAAATTATCTTTATAGATAAAAAATAACACCTATATCTCGAAGGAATATTACATTTCCGTCAAATTTGGAAGTTATTGAAGAAAATATAAGAGATTTCTACTAAACTCCTTAAGTTTCGTGTTTTGTTTTCATGCCAATCTTTATTTTTTAGTAATACGGAAAGTACGGAAGGTTCCCTGTAAAGAGAGGTCTGAATATAGCCGAAGAATATTGATATCATTAGGGCTTCTAATAATATAGAAAAACACAAGAGGTTTGAGATCAGACTCTTGTATGTAGAGGTATTCGTTGAACCAAAAAGTTGATGCCGTACCAGTAAAAATGTTATGTAAATAATACTAGTTTGGATTGATCTAACCAAGTTTCGGCAAAGTGACCAAGTTTTGGCAAATCTAATGATTAATCTAGATCCGATGGACACTTTTGGTTTATAATAGATCGTTGAAACAAATTTCTGCACATCCTTCTTTTATATTTATTTGGGAAATTTATTTCTCAAAATATTTTATTTGAAAATATATTCTATTCATCATCGATTTCCAAATATAAAGTATGTGTCATGTGAACAAAATTTTTATGAATTTAAGGTTTACATGAAATATTCAGACAAAAATTTACTTACATTCTAGACTGATTTTTTACAGTATTTTTAGCAAATTGATACGCATTCAACTCTCTCTAGTTCATGTCATCATCTAAAATTTATGTATATTTCAATAAAATACTCTTTACTTCTCCATATGGTTGTCTTTTTCGTCCAATAGCTTGTATTCCAATAATTTTTTTTATATATATTTATATGAAAGATTGGTAAAAAAAAAAACACCTAGAAAAACACTTTCAACACAAGACTTTTCATCAGTGGAACAATTATGTTCGAAAGTATGGAAATAATTATGTAAATTTCATTTCAAAACTTTACAATATTACTGAACACATTTTACTTCTACAGTTTTCTTCTTAATTACTCGTTTGAGTTTATATTATACCTCAACACAATGCATATAATCTTCATGCATGCAAAGTTACACCATTTCTTTGCATTGAGGATTTATCCCTACCGAAGCCCAGTGTTCAACTTCACATATGCTCTAGTCTATGCCAATTTGTTATTGATCTGCATCGAATATTGTACTCTTTGGTTCTTATCAACAATGTTTTGTTAGACTTGTCTTTGAACTTCATACAATATGTGCATGACTAGATTCAAGTTTTGGCTGAAAATCTTCAAATTTTAAAATCTTTTCTTTAGATAGAAAAAGAGTACAAACATGAGAGTATCTTATCAATATCTGAAACTCCATCCTCCTTGATTCAAATAATCATATTCTTCAATTTTTTAATCACATATTTTACTCATGTTAATTTGGGAAAAAATTTGACACCCGGTTTTGCTGACAAGAGACTGAGTGTAAACATGAGCATCACATTACTCTAGTAACCCAAGCATCCTAGCTAGGATTCTGAAGAAATATAACCAGATTTTCAGCTCATTATATACAAGAGAAACAAAACATGTGTGTAAATTACGTTTGAAGTGAAGCAGTTCTCTTAGTTTGTCAGCATCAAGTGTATCTGACAGAACCTTATATCTCGTGTAATGTGCTTGTAAACAGAAAATTTAACTTGTATTTGATTGCGACTGACCTTGAAATTATTTCATCCTAGTCCTAAAACAATTGGAAAAAAATTTTAGATGCGTTTCATAGCTCGCGAATAATAAATTCTTGATTTTTTCATGTTCATCTTGGAACAAGTTTTTTTGTTAGATGAAATTTTTGTTTCGGTCTGCCTGAAAAAAATTCATTTCTAGAATCCTTCTCTTCATTTCATTTCTTTCATTTCCAATTTATCCATAGGCTGTCATGACTCTTTTCATTCATTGAAGTACGTCATGCTCCATAAAATCTTTCACTATCGAACTTAGAATTGGTCTTATCTCCTTTTTCAATGTCATTTACTTTTTATCGTCCCAATAAATCTCCTTGTCAGGTCATTTGAAAAGAGCGCGAGGAGTGAATTTATATGGATTTCATGTTCCATAGAACCGATAAACGGCTTCCAACATCTTTGTCCGTCATCGTGATGTAGTATTGGAGTTTCAAGGGCACATGCGGGAGCAGACGCAACACCGAGGTTCGCGAAAGAAGGCCGTAGGCACTTCGCTCCGTCCAACGACACTTTGTTCCCGCCACTTCATTCTGATGCCCTGACAGAAAGGAGGATAACGGGTGCTCGTCCCCTGTACGTAATCATTACGCAGAGAAAGCACCCGCGAGACAGAGCAGACCGAGGCTTCTGCCACGGTGATCAGTGCCTGGACTCTCGGGACTCTGTATCCGAGTGTTATCAGAAGGATACAAACCTTCGGCTTCAGAGGAGGCTGCAGGAAGGAAGACAAAGATGCAAAACAGTTGGAGGAAGTCCACTTTCTGCAGCCCGTCGTAAGTATCGATGGATACTTTTGATGGTCTTCTGTGAAAGCTCACTTACGGCGGCAATTTTCGCCCGCTGATGGCTACCAGCAGCAATTTTCGTCCAGAATTCTTGACAGAGGAGCGCTGGAAACTAGCTCCAGCGGGATTGTCGACCTTCCATGGAGTCACCGGGAGGCACAGAGAGATAGAGCAACGAGAAGAATCTGTAAATTCATGTGACGAGTTTGGAAGTCGGAACGCGGGCAAAGGCTTCTGACTGCTGCGGAATGGCGAAGAAAATAGTGTAACCACTTTCTTTATTGTTTTCGGGATGTCAAGAGCTGTGCGCTGAAAGACACGAAAGTTGTGTTCGCCATGGAGACTATTTTGAAAGTATGAATCTCGTCCTACTTCACCACCATTCGATGCGATCATTTTGGTTGTGTAGCTGGTTTGTAGTGTATTGTAGTGTTAGAATTTCGACAACATAGCCAGTAAGCTATTCCAATTCCCGACTTGTAGTGAAGGTGAGAGATTCCCTTGAGAAGAGGTAAGCTGAGCGACGAAATCAACAATCGTGTGCACGTTCGTATGAGGGGTATAAATTTCTTGTCTTGGAAGGAAATTGAAGGAGTAGATGATATCCTGAGCTCGCGTGAACTGAATTTTTTTCAAACAATGCGTATTCATTTCGCATACGAAAGTAACAGAGCCTTCGGATATGTAGGAATTTTTTGGCTACTCAACTTTTCGGCCGTTTCAAAAGGAGATCATTACTCAAATTCTGAAGGGAAAGGACTGCTTGGTGGTGATGGCCACGGGTAGCGGTAAATCTATGTGGTAAGTTCTAGGGATGTATTTTAGATCAGTGAATTTTACAGCTCTACATACTTAGTTGGACCGAGCGCTTCTTTTCCGAACACGCAATATTGTGCTCAGTGATCATTTTGGTTGACGGCTTACGACTGGGATGCAGCTATCAGATGCCGCCTTTAATAACCAAGAAAACGGCAGTGGTCATCAGCCCGTTGATCAGTCTCATGCAAGACCAGGTTCTATTTGCTTTCGAGTGTGAGCATTGAGATTGTTGTATTGTTGTTACATGTAAAGCAGATAGTGTATTCAGATACACTTCTAGATTGGAGAGAGTTAGAGCAATCTTGGTTCTTGAACATGCTACTATGTGATAATTTTATCGTCATCTCTGCTGATGTTTACAAGATTGTTATCGTAATAATAGTTGGTCACTGCTCACATTGTTCGAACTTGCAGGTAATGGGCCTTAAACAGCGTGGAATTCGAGCTGAGTTTATAGGTTCTGCCCAGACAGATCTGTCCGTCTGCAGTAGAGCCGAAAGTGGAGAGTTTGATGTTCTGTACATGACCCCGGAGAAGGCCTGTACTTCCTCGTCCAGGTTTGCATCTTTTGCAGCTGTTGCATGTTCAGGCATTTATATTTTCCAAGACGAAAACCTACTCCTTACCTGCTGCGAATGTGATTATCTGCAAATATTTCGTAGAAGCACTTCTGTGGGCCTCTAACTTTCGCCATTGGATTGCATAGCTTTTGGTCATCTCTTCTTCACAAGGGTGTTTCACTACTCGCAGTGGATGAAGCGCATTGTGTCTCGGAGTGGGGCCATGACTTCAGGTTGAATATTCTTTCTGCTTCCACATTATTCAAGTTTTATTACCAGGGCAGCTTGTGATGTTCGAGCCGTAAAGACTCTACCAATGTATGGGGTTACCCATTACACAGCCCCTATGGTTCTACCTTCGGGGTTTCTGCCATTCTGCTCCCGCTAAGTAGGTTGATCACGTGTAATTTCAAATGCTTTTGTTGAGTCATAAATTTGTCACGTGTTCTGGCTGTTTGACACAGGCCAGAATATCAAAAACTCGACACGTTGAGGCACCACCTTCCAAAGGTTCCTTTTGTAGCCTTAACCGCAACAGCCACTCACAAGTAAGATCCAGGTTATTTGTGCTTAAAGTTTTTTTCATAAAACCCTAGCTTTCGAAACAATGCGGAACAAGTTCAATGCTGTTCATTATTTTGAGTTAAACTAAAAAATCTAGTTGTTCATTCAAGTTATGACAATCTGAGGTGTTTTGAAACCTGCACTTTTCAGAGTTCGCGAGGACATCTTATCTTCTCTCACGCTGCAAGATGTATTCACAACTGTTTCGTCCTTTGACCGTCCTAATATTTACTACGGAGTCAAAACACTCAACCGAACGTCAGCTTTTCGGGAAGAGCTTGCTCAGGAAGTTCTGAAAGATGTCACAGAAGGTGGTTCTACGCTAATTTATTGTACCACAGTGAAAGATGTGGAGGAGGTGAGATTTGAGCTTTACAGTGTTACCTGTCTCTGAAATTATCAGTACATCAATTTTATGGAGAAAAAATTTCTTTAACTTCAGTCGAATGCATGTCCTGTAGACGTTATAGCGGACCACTCAACTCTGATTCCACTCGAGACAGAAATGAGAGAAAAAGATTTGTATCAGTCGTTCGTTCATGTGCTGCAAATAGACGCCAGCGTCGTTTCCATTTTGCAAACTTCCATTGTTGTGTATATGATCAGATTATTCTCTCCTCTGCTAGGAGAGAATAATCTGACGTCAAGGACTATATCTATGCTGTGTTAAGGGTTTTAGACTCATGCACAGACAACTCTTTCAACCTCTCAAGTTGTACTTCTTGCATTTATCCTTGCATGTTCATCGCGTGTCACTCGTGCAATTAGGCTTTCCTCTCGATCGCTGGGGGCCGACACAATGTACTATTCTTGTTTACCCGTGCCTTAGTGCCATAAACCTGCATCAGTACCAACTGATGCAGGTTTATGGCCTAGCTAACCAATCTGAATATCACTATACAGCGTCCTGGGGCTAAATGATAAAGTATATGCTTTGCCGACTGGTTTTGCAGGTCACGAAAACACTTGTGAAAGTTGGGGTGGATGCTCGCCCCTATCATGCACAGTTGAGCTCTAAGCTGCGTACAGAGACTCACAGGTAGTTCTAATATTGTTTCCTCTGAAGCTTGCACACATGATCGGAGACGTGAAATATTAAATTTATGTATGGTGTCTGATTTACAGTTCTCAAGTTGTAATAATCTACATATGGTGAGCTATTGCAGGGCCTTTTTGAGAGACGAGTTGCAGGTAGTGGTGGCAACCGTGGCTTTTGGTATGGGCATAGATAAGCCTGATATTCGGCGTGTAATACATTATGGTTGTCCGAAGAGTCTTGAGTCCTACTATCAAGAAAGTGGGCGTTGTGGGAGAGACGGCTTACCTGCTACTAGCTGGCTGTACTTTGCGCGGCAAGACTTTGCGAAGGGAAACTTCTATGCAGCCGGAGCCATGAGCGTAAGCTTGATAACATACTAGATATTTGATCTGCCTCGACAACTATCGCAAACTTATCACATATTTTTCGTCTACTTACTCCGCTAGTTGTATTGTGGAAGTGAAAGTGTTCTCTATGAAAGCTTTCTCTTATTTTTAGATCATATCAGAACGCACACAGTGATGATAGCTACAGTCAATAAGAAGCCTGATAGCTAAGCCTGGGTCATGCTTTATTCTTGGCCTGACACAGTTCGATGATGATGGCCTTGAACAGTTCGAACGCAAGCAAGCTATTTTGGATGCTCTTTCATCAGCTCAGAAGTACTGCGTATCCCCAGAATGTCGTCGTGCAACTCTTCTCCAATATTTTGGCGAAAGTATTGGAGGAGTAGCCTCCGGGAATTGGAACTGCGGTACGTTGAACGTACTTACTCACATTTTTCCTAACTCTTCCCATTTGACTTAATCATGTTTCATCAATTGCCTTCGTAAGTCATACTTATCAAGAAGTTGAAATACATCTTCTTATCCCTCTCACTGTTCATTCATATGTACAGGAAATTGTGACAATTGCCAAAGACGAGGTGGTTTACAACTACTTAATATGGCGGAACCGGCCCACTTGCTTCTTACAGCTGTGAAGTTATGTGGAGGAAAGTGGGGTCTAAACATGCCTGTTGATGTCCTACGAGGTTCAAATGTACTTCCAGCAAAACTTTAACAATCTTTGAGTATTACAATGGGTCCTTGTAGCTTTATATCTAGTTTCGTTGTTCAACAGTCCACTTGTTGTTCCTGGTATGAATGGTTTCTGCTTTACATGTATGACTCATTACAACGATGTGCAATTTCAAAACCAACTTCACTAACTTGCAGCTCCGTTTGGAGCCCTGTAGGCAAAAAAGATAGTCGAGAATGGCTTCGACAAGTGTCCAGTACATGGTGTAGGGCGCAGCAGATCATCACTTTGGTGGAAAGCTTTCGCAGATCAGCTTCTTGCTGAAGGTATGGCCACTTCTGTTACAATGGGCTCGGTGGATCTCGTGGGTACTTCAAAGACGCCCTTTGAGAGAATGTGATGCTTGATCCATGCCGCTCTATTCTATGTAAGCTTTTAAAGTGTATGTGCAGGCTACCTGAAGGAACAGCGAAAGACTTATATGAACAATTCATTCAGACTCGTCAGGTTTGTGGGAGTCTTGTGTCATTTACATCTACAAAGTTCAATGCATGAGATATAAGTATGCTTCTCCATGTTTTCTTTCTCTTGGTTCTTCGTCATGGAAAAAATTATTTGCAGATTCTTTTCCAATGTGCATTAGTATTAGACAACCTTCAGTTGTTGTGCCGTTTAAAAACCTTCGTATTGAAAGGCGAACAGACTAGTTTCGACTGCAATCCATGGTAATTTAACACTCTTCTTGAAATCATTATATTCAGTGTGGCCGAAAGGGGTGAGAGTTTCCTTTCTTCATCACTATCAGGCGAAGCATCTCTTATGCTGCCACTTAGTCAAGAGATGGTCGATGAGGAGCAGAAACAAAGTGGTCTTGGCCCTGAACTGCCTTCGGACAAGGGACACGCTTCGATATCGAAGCACCTACAATCATTAGGATTCATCGAGGTATACATCTTCATAAACCCCCCGGAATCCCTCTTGCAGGAATGTATAGACCATCCATGTATGAGAAACATATACATCTCGAACAAGAAACCTAACAATCTTGATTGAAGAACATTACATTGTTCACACGGTAAACTGTATTCATAAGGAGTACTGTGTTGCACAGCTGTGTAGTAAAAAGTGTATCAAACTTAATCGTCCGTGATGAGTAATCTTCTAAAAGGTTTGTTCCTCTCATGCAGGCTGAAATAAAGCTCTACAACCATCTGCTAGAAGCTCGCTTAAATTTGGCAAAAAAGAGTTCTGCAGCTCCGTAAGTCTCTGATGGGCTTTACTTCTTTCCATTGTTTTTTGATGTTTCTGCTAAGTTGTTCCTTTCAGGCTACTTTGTCTCACCAGTTGCTTTGTCACTAAGAACAAGTAGTAAAGAAAGCAAAGTTGTCAACATCAGTCTCTTCAGTAATACAGTTCCATCTTATGTACTTAAAACTTAGTTTAGAATTCTTGATTTGGTCTGTTGTTATTCAATTTGCAGCAGTGAAGCTTTCAACTCCACTCAGTCTTCTGAATTGACTTTTTTTGCTTTTCCCACTGTGATCAGGTATGCAATCTGCAGCGAAACAGTTATTCAAAAGATAGCCAAAGCAAGACCATCAAATGAGGCTAGACTTCGAATGATTGATGGTGTCAGTCAGGTTCGTCAAATCAGTCGCAAGCAAAAGACTAACTTCAAGAGGTTCACATTGGTCCAATTGTTTTTCATTTTTTTAACATTGTAATGTGGCCTTGGTTACTGTCTCCATGAAACGGAATGACTTTCCGCACATTTGTTGCATGACACCTTTGTTTGCATAACTTGTATCAATCTTTTCTTTCCTTTCCTTCGGTTGTGTTTGCACTAATATTGTTAACATTATCCTGACCCAAGGATTCCATGTTTGGATCCAGTGGCTTGTGTTGCAACATGGTTCGGAGATAATCTCTACTGTAAAAGATTTTTCCGCTGAGCTTGATCTATCTTTGGATTTTACTGAGTCCACAATTCAAAGACCACCTAAAAGCGACCAGCCAAGCTCTGCGAGGAAGACTGACCAGAAAGTTACTCCCGCGAAAGAAGAAGCTTGGAAGATGTGGCAACAGCAGGGGCTTTCTATTTCAGTTATTGCGGTACATGCTTTGCCTCCGTATGTTGTTGTTGTGTCACGTTTTACAGAACAGTAAGAAGAGTGGCACATTGTAGTTAATAATCTGTATACTTGTAATGCGTGATTTGCATCTGATTTTTTACACGAGTTTCATGTATGTCCTCTGTTGTCCCATGCTGCAGTTATTATTTATTCTGGCCGCGTTGTCCATGCTTTTCTCCTTATTATTTGACTGTCAGACTGAAGACCATAGGCTTCGCTCCTTGGTTTAGCGGTGTTAGTATCAGCAGACTGGTAATGAGAAGCAGTAAGATGAGACGGAGAAGGATATCCTTGGAGAGGGAAAATGATTTTTTGTACATTAGGATATCTTGAAGTGGAAGCTTCCTGGTTTCAGTGAAGCACCCTCTTTAGCTCGGGGCCGGCCCCGAAAGTTCTCTTCATCAGTTCTCTGTATCTATACGAACCGATTCCGAAACTGAACTTCACCCACAGATCTGACACTGAGGGTAATTTTTAGGACTTCATTGTATCCTCTACCCACCTCAACCAAGGCCTAGTAGGTCTCCCTTGCCTTTTGCAATTCCAAAGAGTATCAAGTGAATCTCGAGGGTACTAGTTAGACGTCATATGGTGCAGCTCTCCATCCAGCTGGGCATTTACTCTACGAACTTCAAGGGAAGTTATCCGAAGTCCAGTTTAACTCGGTCGCGAGCCAATTGTTGTGGGTTGCGGCGATCATAGTATGAAATCCTCTGAGTGGTATTAGGATAATTAGGCTCCAATTTTTTAGTCTGGGTTCTGTTCTGTTGAGTACAACCGAAAGTTTGAATTTATTGGTGATACCCCATCAACGGACGAACTTGATACTATGAAGAACCTTGTTTTGCCGCTTCTCAACGACGCTCTGTATGAGGGATTCCCACAAACAATATCCTGAGCATTCAAAACCCAGTTATGCTGCTATATGCTGGCTCAAGGGTTATGTCTCGACCAGCCGAAGTCCACTGCTGGTCTTGCTCCTCAGACTGTCCGTGGCGCAACAGGACACTATATTTCTGTAGACTTGCCCCATCTCTCAAGTATCATATCATGTTCCAATGTAGGTACTCAGTTCCTAGCGATCAGAATCGCTCATATCCTTAAAATCAACAACAAGTATCATTGGCGAAGATTAGTGCCGGTATTATAAGGTCCCCACAAGAATGAGCAACTCACTATCTTCTTTAATAATCCAGGTGGATTAAGAAGCTGTTGAAGGGCGTTGGCAAGGAAGAGCAGCCTTGTGCTACTCCTTGATCTGCGAAAAAGGGTTCACTCAGTTTACTCATAACGAAAACGAACTGTTGCGCCATTCTCCCTATTGTACCTGTTATGCATGCGTTGACGTCGAGAAGCCCAACAGAAGACTGATTTTTGTATGCCGTGTGAGGGCAAAGAAGAAGCTCATCTTAACTTACCTTCCGCGTCTATCTCAGTAGTTTTTGGCTGAGTGAGAATATGGTCAACCCCGCTTTGGGATTTATCCAATCCTGCTTGTTCCTCACTGATTTTGGATCTGTTCTCCTAGGAACATTGTTATCTCCGGTGCTGAGTACCGGGAACAATACTTGTTACGAAGACACTGTGTTGATTGTGAGAACAATCGGACTGAAGAGTTCGTTTAGATTCCATCAAGGATTGGACTATAACCTGGAACGCCTTATGCTTTTGCTTGTATGATTTTTTTTTCATTTGAACTCTTTTCTGCTACAGACATTGCCAGATAGGCCCAAGCCGATCAAAGAGGAGACTGTGATTGGCTACATAATTGAGTGTGCCACACTCGGGTACGAGCTGAATTGGGAGCGCTTCTGTCAAGAAGTCAAGCTTACAAAAGCTAAAGCAGGCGAGATACGGATGGCCATCGAAGACGTGGGTTCTTTAGAGAGCTTGAAGGCCATCAAGGAGCACCTTCCCGAATCTGTAATATTCCTGTTCTACACCAGTTTTGAAATATACACATGGACATCAATCTTACATGAAGTTTATGTTGCTCTCTCAGTTGTAGGACGCACGGAATGAGTTATATTCTAGAGATCATTGTATCGTCTGCGTTAGAAAATCAAATCTCCATCGTAATGTCCGATGTTGTTCGTTTTCCTTTGTAGAAGTGTTTGTCCACTTCATATCTCCCTAACTTGCAGGAAAATATCCAGTTTCTCTGAAGGCAGCAAGTTGGAAATGTGACTTGCTCTTTCTTTCTATGTTGGGTTCATTTTTCCTCTCTCCAAATTAACAGAGATCCCGTCTGTGCAATATCAATTATGAATAAGAGATGGTATTGCTTAAATTAGCCACATCGCATGCAAATCCTGCAGTTAGGAACCAACATGTCTAATCCTATACATACACCGTCTGGTCTGTTTTGCTTGTGCTTAGCTCTGTCATGTTAAGAAGTTTTGTTTTAATGTTCCAATTTGTAATCGAAGTCCTCCTGTTCTTGCAGTTTTCTTATGCAGACATCAGAACATATCTTGCAATGGAAAGCTGCGGTGTTTCTCTTCCCGATGAGGTGGGGCCACTGAAAATGAATAGCGATCCGAACACAGCAGCAAGGTCCTCCACCCAAGAGCCGAATCTACCAGTGCAGCCCTCTGGCACTGATAGGTCGCCGTTGATGAATTCCGAAGACGAGGGTACTCCAGATGCACTGCTGACAACGCCTGCATACATATCAGGAGGGAGCGACAGAATTACGATATCAAGGAGGAAGGTGCCTGCCTGGGTAGTTCAACCTGAATCGAAGAAATCCAAAGTGAAGGATGCATGATTTGATCCTTCACTGCACGCAGTGTAGAAGTGAGAAAAAAATTTCAAGAAAATTCTCACATACAATGAATCTTCTTTTATGTAGAGGACCATCGAAATAGACAGAAAGAGTCTTGATAGAAGAGGAAAGTTCTCTAGACACTCTCCAGAGCGACGGACGTATTCCACGACCATGACCGTACGTGAAGATCCTTCGTTTTCGGTCGTATTCGGAAGGTCTATTGTTGGCTCTTATGAGGATATAAAATTGACAAATGTGATAGTACAGATGCGTAGACTAGTGTACTTGACTAATATCAGTCACGAGATCCTCAAACTCTCAGTTTTCCGGCCGGTACTATTGAGAGGAGCGTAGATACAATCAAGGTGGAATCGGTGAGGCAGGTGCCTTTGTACATTCTCGGACTTGCTTAAAACAGCCAAATCAGTTTTGACCGATAAAATGCCTCTTCTACTTTTGTACCATGAGACTCAGGAACAACGCACTACTGGGTTTCGGATCAATGTATTGTATGTCTTGAAAGCTTGAAATTTGCATGATTGGATGGATACCACTTTTGGCAGTGGAGTGTGAAATAGACCGTGTACTTTGTTTGTTCCTTTAGATCAACAAATGGCATAAGAAAGTGTACTTCGACATACACAAATTCTACAGATGTACAAGAACTCTGTCTTAAAAGTATAGTATGGACAATTGAACATAAATTGTACTTTTCAATCTACTAAATCTAGTCCTAAATATTTATATAATTATATATTTTTATATGATAAAATTAAGTTCCTTCATAATAACTTTACGATTTACTTCATACCAATTTCCTAACATCTTATAAATGATATTCTATTTCATTCATGACATTTAGATAAAATCTTACTCATTAATCATATCATATTATGAACTTAACTTGTTTATCATTATCTTCAAAGTAATAACAAGTAATTTATCAAAAGATATCACATTATTGGATGCTAGAATAAAGAACATCATATTTGTTTCATTGGAAAATTTAAAACATTAATCCAAATATGTATCTCATTTCAAAGTGGAATTGTTTTCAAAATTGCAAATATTAAAGTGTTGCAAAATTATTTCCAAGCATCCGTCGTTTGAATCTTGCATACAAAAGCTTTACATTCTTAACATAAAACTTAAAGCCAAATACGAATCACACTGGACACTCATGTAACGTGGTTCACTTTTAAAGACTACGGTCACGGCTCAAACACGCAAAAGAGTTTACTGACAAGGTGAATACACAATGTTGCTTCAAGAAGAAACCTTGGCCTTGGAGTTATATTTATACCCAAAGCCAGCGACACACTTAGCTATAAATAACTATAAACTGAGGTTAGTCCTTAACTGGAGTTAATCTTAACAATCTACCCCTTAGCTCGTGTTAAAGAAACAATAACCTGTGTAAACAATATTATTACTAAGCGGGAAGTTCTAGACATAAACCTAACACAAGACATCTCTTTATACGAGAGTTGACTAGAACTAGACCGTACCCATAATAGAATAGAGTAATAACACAAAGAGGTGAATAGAAACCCTGCTTACATAGAGGGATAAGAGATCTCGTAGTCTATATGATTACTTTGCGGGAAGTTCTAGACAAAAACTTAATACAAGCTCCCTCTTTACACAAGAGTTAACTAGAGTTAAACCGTAGTCATCACAAGATAGAGAAAATTTATAAAGAGATAACTAAAGTTACTATGCTAGCAAATTCTACATGTGCTCTCCATGCACAACCTGCATGATAGCAAAGTGTCGTCTGAAACTCTCCAATGGAATAACTTTGGTCAAAACATCAGCTGGATTGAGTTTATCGTCGATCTTGACTAACTCAATTGTTTTATCAGACATTGCTTGTCTGATAAAATGATGTCTGATGTCAATGTGCTTCACTCTGCTATCCATGACCTGGTTCGCAGCCAAATGTAAAGTGCTCTGGCTATCACAATGAAGATTAACCACACATTTCTTCACTCCCATTTCCATGATAAATCTATCCAACCAAATAGCTTCCTTGCCGCTTTTGTTGCTGCCACATATTTAGATAAGCCTCTCCAACCAAATAGTTTCCTTTGCCGCTTATGTTGCTGGCACATATTTAGATAAGCCTCTCCAACCAAATAGTTTCCTTGTCGCTTCTGTTGCTGCCACATATTCGGATAAGTCTCTCCAACCAAATAGCTTCCTTGCCGCTTTTGTTGCTGCCACATATTTAGATAAGCCTTTCCAACCAAATAGCTTCCTTTGCCGCTTATGTTGCTGCCACATATTTAGATAAGTCTCTCCAACCAAATAGTTTCCTTGTCGCTTCTGTTGCTGCCACATATTCGGATAAGCCTCTCCAACCAAATAGCTTCCTTGCCCCTTCTGTTGCTGCCACATATTCATATAAGCCTCTCCAATCAAATAGCTTCCTTGCCGCTTCTGTTGCTGCCACATATTCGGATAAGCCTCTCCAACCAAATAGCTTCCTTGCCGCTTCTGTTGCTGCCACATATTCGGATAAGCCTCTCCAACCAAATAGCTTCCTTGCCGCTTCTGTTGCTGCCACATATTCAGATACGCCTCTCCAACCAAATAGCTTCCTTGCCGCTTTTGTTGCTGTCACATATTTAGCTTCCGTTCTTGACTAAGCTACACATTTCTGCAAGATAGATCTTCAACTAATGCTTCCATCGCCAAGTGTAAACACATATCTAGTTGTAAATCTCCTTTTATCTAGATCCTGTCCCTAGTTAGCATCAACGTAACCAAACAAGGATTTGGCATTGTCTAATAGACCATCAATCAGTAAGCCATAATCCAAAGTACTCTTCAAATATCTCATAATCCATTTCACTGCAACCTAGTGAACTTTCCTTGGATTTGAGATGTATTTGCTCACCTTGCCCTGCAACCTCCGGGCTGACTCTCACTCAGGTCTACCTCTGATGGCTTTGTGGTAGCGCATCATGGTTCTAGAAGACTAGGATTCATACTCTCACTCATGTCACAAACACCTTCTCTCACAAACTCTCATGTATCACTCCAACTCACACACAAACTCTCCTCACATCACCCTCTTCACATAAACGGAAACACTCGTCGATACTCCAAGATACTCAAAAACTTCACTCCTTCATTACTGAAACAAGTCCTCACACATGACTCTCCAAACTTGCTTGAGAGGTGCTACTCTACCTCTCTATTTATACTACTTGAGAAGTTACCATAGTAACATGTGGTAATTTCTCCTAACTTACTTTTACCTAGGTAAGTTTGACTAACCTTCTCTACGTGGCAACATGCCATTGGCCTACCTAAACCTTCTAGAAGCTTCCGGAATCCAAGGTTGAGGTGGCGACATGCCATTGGAAGCTTTTAAACTTCTACAAGCTTCCTAGCCACTAAGTCAACATTAGACTTAGTCTAGCCAATCATCTTTCATACATTTAGTCAAACCAATCAAATTCAAGCTTCTAGTCAAATATCTAATCCCTTGGAATCTAGAACTTTTGTATAAGACAAAATAGAAGTGCTCACTCCTTGTAAAAGACAAAATAGAAGTGCTCACTCCATTCTTCTAGAACTCCGCTAATTACTCCGCCAACTATAGACATTGTAGCTAAACTTAGTCATGACTAGATAAACTTAGTTATAACTAACTAGTTTAGTCATAACTAGCTAGTCTTAGCTATGCCTTGGCTAATCATCCTTATTCCCTTGACCACTTCTAAGACTTAGTACATATGTGCAACACCCGGTCTTACAGCTCATCGCAAAAGCAATGTCTGGCCTAGTGCACATTATCAAATACATGAGGCTGCTTACGGCTTGTTTATAGGGAACATATAACAGATTTTCTTATGGGAACCCGAAATTGAACTCTCTTGCACTCAGGGGATCTGGATCTCTGCCGTTTGAACCTTGTTTGTTGCAAATTGTCCTAACCGGATGGTTGCGACTAAACTCGGATCACAGTAAGTGAAGTACTTGAAGGGAGTGGGCAAGAGAATGACAACATCTCCTCTTCCACCTCGTCCGCCAGGAGAGCACTTACAACCTCGTTGTAAGTTACAGCCTTGTTATCACGATGAAGTAGAATCTTTGATAGTGTCTAGTAGGAGGAAGTCAATGAGTGGAGTAGATGCATAGCTTTCTTAATGTCAGAAAGCTCCTCTTTCATACTTTAAAGATCTACCAACAAATCTCCGTAGGCGTGAATGTGATCCTAAATTCTTCATCCCGGCCTCATCTTGAAGTTCAATAGCCTCATGTAGGTGTTGATCACATGTGAGATTTACTTCTGATGAAATCGTCTCTATAGGCCATCAAAAAGCTGTGCAATCTCAAGATACTCCTCAACTTGCTTCATAACTAAAGGATCTAGATAACCCATCACAATGTAGATTGTTTGCTCTTGTGAATCACTCCAGTCAATGTCGGTAATGTGTATTGGTTTGTCTCTAAGCACATTAGCGAGACCCATAGATTTCAGCTTGCCTTTCAAGAGGCAATCTGAGAGGCCATCAAGAGGAAGAATGTTGTACCATGTTCCTCCAAGTTGTTTCGATGTTATCCCAGTTCGACGAAAACTAGAGACATCGTCTGTTGCCGCGTCAATTTCGTACTTCGGATGCATTTTCAGTTGCTGAAAATGGTCAAGATGCACTAGTCGCGTCAAGAGCTTTTCAACAATACCCAAGTTGCTTATATGACAGCAAAAAGTGGTTGGAACTGCACGCATGTGCGCAAATGCCTTGTGCGACCATCATCGTCACTCGCAACTTACACCGTCCTTCATCCACGACTACTGTTGCCCGTGACTCCTGTCACATGCGAGTCTCGTCGCCCGTGATCACCGTCGCTCTTGACTACCGTCACCCGCAACTTAAATATCCGTCATCCGCGACACTTGTCGCCCGTGATTGAAAAAACCGTCACCCGCAACTCTTGTCGTCTGCGATGGCAAAGTCCGTCACCCGCGAGTCTCGTCGCCCGCAACTTAAGTATCCGTTATCCGCGACTGTCGTTGCCAGTGACCACCGTCATCCACGACTCTTGTCGCCCGTGACCAATGTCACCCATGATGGCAATGTCCGTTACTCGCGACCTGCAAGGTGGAGGACGTTCGACCTCCGCTGTAGAGTTCTCAGCCCGTTGTGCAACTCAGATGTCTTCCACTCGGATGCTCGCCTCGAGAGGTGGGTCCCATACCTTGGAGGTTCTACCTCGGGGGAAGAGTGCCCCGCCGTTCGGGGGTTCTCGGTTCAGTAGGTCCCCGCCGCTCGGAGTCCATGTTCGTTTACCTTCGCCGCTGCTGCCTGAACTCTGCGGGCCGCCACTGCCCTTTGCTACTGCACTATTTTTGTGCGGTCTCCGCTGCCCGCTGCCCAAATCTTCTCGCCGTTGCCCGAAACTGCGAAGAACAGGGAATATCTCCTTTTTGACCTTTCACTTTTGGGAGTCTCGGCAGCTCGTACTCGC